CCAATGTGGTTTTATTCAAGAATTTGGGCAGTTATCAGATATATGTGAACGCCAAACATATTCTTTTGAGTCTTTTTAACCATCTAAAACAACTTTACACTCATCTGAAAATGTATTTTTCGGACTGTGACACGGCCCAGTCCACATGCCTCATGTTCACATTTTTTAAATAATTAGTCGTGTACCAATGTGCTTTTATTCTCAAACGCGAAGCTTCCGGGGACCTCTTCCAATTAAAAAATGCGTAATCAGTCGTTTATTAACTGTCAAAACACTTTCAGAGCGATATAAAATTGTTTTCATAACTTTTAAGGATATTGAAGACCTTGGTCTTGACAATTTTTTCGCATAAATCATTTTTTAGGGTGCTTCTTTAAGTTTAAAAAATTCAATATTACAGTAAAAGCCAAATTAGTTTTGAATATCCATTATACCTCCTGATTTTAGTTTTTAGTCTAAATTTAAAGTCTCTCATATTGGATGGACCGTTCATATACTTCTTCTACGCTCCAAAAACAAGAGTACCGCTATATTCAAACATTTCTTTCATCAAAATTTTCAATATATAACTGACTTTTTGAGTGACTTTTTTGAATTGATTTAATTTGTTTTTTATTTTTTTTTAACTTGCACCCAGCAATACTATTTTATTTATAACAGCAGGTTTCATGGGTATTTTTGTAAAGTAATGTAAAACAAGAAGATGGAATGCAAACGTTCCAGAATTCTTTCTGGTTTCTAATTTTTACTTTTCAGGCTTTCCAAAAAGGTATCACTTGTTCAATTCGAAAGACGGGAAGAGTCTCAAAAATAGCTGAGAAAATTGTGTGCCGCTGCACTACTATTTCATTGAACACAACTGTATATCAGCGCCTTTACAAGCTACGGCAACCAAATTTTTTGTCAAGATTGCTGTGACATCACACTGTTACAATTGTATTTCAAATTTTCCCCTCGCCCTTTTCCGCCCAACAAAAAGGCGAAAATCAGCTTCATCCACAATTTTGAAGATAAGACAGTACTAAAACCGCAGGTCTGTAGCGAATGGCCTTATCTATCAGATCCCCGAATAAGATCGGATCATTATTAGCCAGAATATCGAAACTCATATTCAGTGCCTACTCCCAGTGGGAGGGGGGCGAGCTAAAAGGGCGTGTTGTCGTGATAAGTGATTTAATTTATGATGTATATAAGATGTAGAAAACATGTAAAATAGAAAACTCTAAAAATGCATAAGGCTGCATTATGTACATACATACATGCATGCATACATATGTATACAGCACCCTAAGGTTACATACATACATACATATATATATATGTAGGTGCATTTGTTTGTACGTACATAAATATGAATATACTGACTGATGCCTTCCGCTGGAACGTTTCTCATAACGTTTCTCAAAGCATAGACCAAGCTGTCGCTAAGAGACATCGGAGTTGGCAGCCGGGGGCTGGTGCTCAGGCTGTCACCCAGCGGCTCTCCGTCGTTGTGCGTAGCGCGTTGCCAAAATGTCATGTGTGAAAAGATCAGGCCAACTTGTCGGCATCGCTTCAAATTGGGTAAGACTGTTAAACTACCAACTGCTGAATGTGACCATGCAGATAGACTGCACTAGTTTAAACCTTGGATGACCTTGAGGAGTCAGAGGATTGAAGTACATAGAAGCTGTGTCCAAAAGTTGTCAATGTGTCCAAAAGTAGGAGGATTGAGGATAGAGGATAGAACACTGTGCGGAGGAAATACGATTATTAATCAGAGTATTCATTACGAAGTGCCTTTACAACGTGGACATATTTCTCCTTTACTCGCATTCCAAGAAGAGACTTGGTGTGAAAAGCTCTGAAACGAATTAAAGTTTAGTGACAGACCGAAAGGAACTCAGAGCGACTCAGCGTCCTTTTGTCACCCTAACGGCACTTTCCAACTTGCTCCACCACTCTGAATGGGACTCGTATGCAAGCCAGAAGAATCTTCGTACAGAGGAACTAGCCTGGAAAGGCAGAAAAAACAGCATTAAACGTGAGCTACGACAGTACTGCAGAACCTACCTGTATATCACGCCTGACCCGCAAGCTAAGAAAACGGTTTTGTCCAATTTGGTAAAAGAAGGGCACGGCTTTTCCTAGGCCGAAGGGGGGGAGCGAAGCGCCGCTCTTTTTTATTGTCTCTTTTATTGGCGCAACTTGCTTTTCCCGGTGTCCTGTGCTTATCACAGCCAATCACTGCAAGTGGTGTTAGGAAGCGACTGCAGAACAGCTGGCAGAGCGCTGCCAGATCGCACAAGAGGGACCAGAGGCAACCCCAAAAGAGCGAGCAGATGGCTGGGTAAAGGTTGCCGATAGGAAAAAGCAGTGGAGCTTAAGGAGCAGGCAGGGGTGGCAATAAACGAGTCGGCAGTCATTGCCATCAGACCAGCCTAAAAGAGCACCCCAGTAGTGACGCTGACAGTCTCACCGGCTGTGGCCGAGAAACTGCTAGGAATGGGAAGAATCTGCATGGAGTGGGGGTACTGCAAAATACGACCCAAAAAAACGCACAGGAGATGCTACAAGTGCATGGAGTTTGGGCACATCAGTCTAAACTGCAAGAGTGGAGATGTGTTCACCAAGTGCTGCTACAACTGCGCAGGATCGGACCACCAGTCCAAAGACTGCAGAGAGTTTATTGCCGACTCCAGCAAAAAGACAGCGATATAGAGCTGTGGGAGCCAAACACAGCAACTACGGCAAACGTTCGTCGGAAATGGCTTCGCCAGCAGGCAACGGCGGTAAAGAAAGTAGATCGGATGATGCACGGGATAAACACCCTACGCTCATAGCCGGCGACTTTGACGCATGGGCTATCGAGTGGGTGTGCCCGAGAACCAACCCAAGGGGACAAGGCCTCCTTGAAATCCTCTCACCGCTTGATGCCGTGCTGCTAAACACTGACACCCAGCAGACATTTGGCAGAGCAGGAACAAGGTCCATCATTGACCTTACGTTCGTGAGCAGCAGTCTTAGCCAGAGAACAATCTGGGAAGTTAGCGACACCTATACAGGAAGCGACCCCTAAGCCCTGATGTATGAGAGCAAGGATGCTAGACCAAGTAAATCGCTAAGATGCACGCAGGCTATGTACAAGGTCGACACGCTAGAGCTGGACATTTGACGAGCCATGTTCGAAGGCTATGAGACCAACGGAACTGCAGCAGAAAGAGCAAGCCAATTGGTCATCCAAATGCTGGCAGCATGTGACGCATCCATGCTACGCACAACTGTACAGGAAAGTCCACGAACTTTTGTGGAACTGTTCAATGCGTGCATGTCCGAAGGAATCTTCCCAAGCCTATGGAAGCGACTACGGCTGGTCCTTATACCCAAGGGAAACAATCCGACCGAGGAGCCATCCTCCTACAGACAACTCTGCATGCTAGACAAAGTGTTGGGACCGCAAAGAAGAACTAGGAAGTTTCCACGTACCGCCGTATCTGAAGATGATCGTCGCTGAATAACTAAGAGACCGGGTGCTCATATATGGGACAGACAAGGGAACACGTGAGCACCAAATCACGGGAAGTGTTCCCCACGGATCGGTACTCGGACCGCTACTATGAAAAATCTTGTACGATACAATCCTAACGAGAAGGGACGTGTGAGACGCTACTTACGCGTCGCAACTTTTATACCCGGCACTCAGTACTACATCTGTACCTTAGCGGTTTTAGTCAAATTTAACATTTTTTCTTCATCTGTCATCTACATCTACAACAATTCTCACGCCATCACAATATTTTAGCTCGCCACCCTTCCCTAGAGCCACACACTGCAGAGTCATGGCAGATGCAGAGACGCGGCAGAGGCCGCACACTGCAGAAGCAGAGTGTGAATGAGAAAATATGAAACGAGAAGAGACGTGTGAGACGCTTCTTATGCGTCACAACTTTTATGCCCGGCACTCAGTACTACATCTGCACCTTAGCGGTGTTTTGTCAAATTTTAAATATTTTCTTCATCTGTCATCTACATCTACAACACTTCTCACACCAACACGCTCCTTTAGCTCGCCGCCCTTCCATAGACCCACACACTGCAGACTCGCGGTAGAGACAGAGGCAGCGCCCGCACACAAAAAAAAACACAAATATAAGCTGCGGGACGGGGTGGGTTAAAAGTCGGAAGAGGCAGTGGCAGGGGGAGGGCAGAGGCAGAGGCAGAGGCCGAGTGAAGCAGAAGCAGAGTGTGAATGATAGAATGTAAAAAGAACAACAAAAGCTGCGGGACAGGGTTTAGCCACTGGAAATTAATTTCTTCATTCTGGCTATAAGAATGATCCAATCGGATCCCAATTTGGTGATCTGATAGATATGGTTATTCCCTACCGAACGGTGTTTTTAGTTTTATTTTATCTTTAAAATTGTATTTGGGGGAGTCTGTCTGTCCGTCCGTCTTGTTGAGCGACTGGATCTCACCAAAAAGCCACCAAATTTTGCATCCAGACTTCTGTATGCTCACACTGTAACAAAAGTATTTCAAAAATGAGCCACGCCCCCTTCCGCCCCGCAAAAGGGAGAAAACCTCCCAAGTCTACAATTTTAAGATAAAAGAAAAAAGATATTATACTAAAATAGCATGCTTCCGAAAAATAATCTTATTTGTACATACATACTATGCCAAAGATATTTTTTCAGTTGATTAATGCTGAAGTGGGAAGAGGCTAGGAACGCCCGTCAAGACATGAAAAATATTCACAAACGTAGATTTAATTTAACAAAGTAGATGCTAAACACGCGATTGCACAAAGTACATATTTATATACATATATGTACTTATACACATATATGTGCTTATGTAAGTGTTGTGTATGTATGTACATATGTATGCATGCCAAAAAGCAGCAGCGAAAGTCGATAGAAAAAGAAGCAAAAATAACAGCTAAACTGCAGTGCAAGGTGGGATAAATGCGGGGGAAAATGGTAGTTTGTGCAGTCTTGGGGCTGTCAGGGCCCCATACATACACAACCAGAGCGATTGACCCGTCATCTGATTCGGCGCTGATGCAGGAATGGCAGCTGTGCTGGAGATGCTGGCCAAGCGAGACGAGGAGCTCTCGCAGCTTTGAGCCATGGCGGCACAAGACTGTAAAAGCTGTTGATACTGTTCTAATGACTACCGGTTGTTTTGTATTCCTGTTATTGTCTAGTTACTACTGGTAAGATATCAAGCACAAAAACAATAACAAAACTACGCGGGACCACAGACCACAGAACACACAAAAAAAACGATCGAAAGCAAGATCGAATTCACCGCTGCGGAATGCATTCAGTTCCGTTCCGCGTACACGTTGCTTGACACTTGTCAAAATAGGAATGAACAAAAGGCAAGGTAGAGCAGCAAACGGCACGCGCGCGATCGACGACGTCGCAGTCCATTGTCGGTAACCGCAATCGTTTCTCTGTGCACAGATTATGAACAGTGTAACCAGTTCAATTTTTTTTCCACAAAAAAAAACCAAACAAAAAAAACAAGCTCAAAAGTAAGAGTTTTTTATTTGCAGTTGAAACACCTTATAAGAGAATGCTATGCTGATGGAAATTTGTTTCCTTTTTTTAATTAGCAATGTATCTAGACTACTAGACCTTCATACATATGTATAAATGTTGAGCATGGGAAAAAAAATTAAAGTTTGTATATTTAAACATGTCTATTTTTTATACCCGGTACTCGAAGAGTAAATAGGGTATATTGTACCTATTGTAATAGATAGATAGATAGATAGATATATAGATAGATATATAGATAGATATATAGATATATTATAGATATAAGATCTCCGAATTAGGGTTAGATCGGATCGTTATTATAGACAGAATGAAGAATAATTTGCAGTGGCAAAACCCACCATGTCCAGAAGCATATTTTTATTTTTGCACATTCTCACATTCACACTCTGCTTTTTGTGGTGTGTGGGGGATGGGGATGGGTGCGAGCTAAAATAGCCTGTTGGCGTGAAGTGATTATGTAGTTAACAGATGTAGAAAAAGTGTAATATGTAAAAATTAAAATTTGAAAAAAAAAACCGCTAAGGTACAGGTGTAGTACTGAGTACCGTGTATAAAAGTTGTGATGTTTATTTGTAATAACCTCTATCTTTATTTACCGATAGTTCACACCTCTGCTTTCCAATGTGAACTTTACGCATTTGTACATAGGTATGCACATGAGGCAATTATAGAAGGAGGTCCGTCGTCAGCAGCGTTGCTCGTGTCATTTCCCGTTGAGTTCAGTGCGTGCCTGACTTCATTGTCATTTCACTCAAACATACAGCGCAGAACCCTTTCACTCGCACTTATTGACAGCATTGTTACGTTTCCCTTGTTTTGCCGACGAGACCTTCTTCTATAATTGCTTCATGGGCATGCACATGAAATCGCAAATCCAGGTCCGTTCATTCACAGTTCGGCACCGTAATAATTGAGGAAAAGGTTCTGGTCATGGCGGAAATTGTATTACATATTTTTTTGCACACAGCGTATAGAATGCGTTTCTAATTAGATTGGCGCACCAATAAGAAGGTGCCGAACTTGACAACAAATCCAATACAATACATAAATAATTTGATAATTGAAATACGTTGGAGAAACATCACATCTACAGAAAAATATACATAAAAACATACATATATAACTAAATTAAGTTAGAGGGACTTGGTGACGAAATCAAACAATTCAGTTTGGGCGGAACCCTGATCAGCAGTAGGTGCCGTGCCGATATGTTGCTTCGACTGGGGCCTGGCTGTTCTTTACGAATCGGCCAGAGCACGATCACGTGATCTCTGTTTAATTAGTATTTGTGCAGATTTATTTGAAATGTTCAAACACACACACATAAATATACCTTTCTTGGATTTATAAATAAATGACCGAGTCCACAGCAATGAGCCAGCGCTAGCGCATGAAATCCCGTACCTACAAGAACAATAACGACAACGAAAATATCAGTGTGTACTTGACAATGTGTTGGGAACACAGAAACAATTTTTTGGAATTTGCTTAGCGAAGGTTTGTAATTATTTTCACTTAAAGGCACAATTCATAATCTGCACTTTTTAGTAGCTCCGCAGTTGAGGGCCAAAACTGAACTGTTTAGCTAAAATTTTCTTAATAATACATATAATATAATTAATATTTCAAAACCAGATTGAAAGACGCATAGAGCCGATACACCAAAACAGGACTCGGCACGGCCCATCTATTGTGCATAGGACCATGAAGCAATTATATAAGGAGGGTCCGTCGGCAAAATTAGGGTAGCCTAACAATGCACTGCGCTGTAAGTGTGAGTGAAACGAAAATGGAGTGTGCTGATTAACCCTTTGATGGCATGGGGTTTAAAATTGCCCATTGCAAGACAAGGAGTTGCAGTTTTCTTTTTTATTTTGTTTTTTTTTTTAATTAACTAGTTGTTTAATATGTATTTGTTTTCTTAGGCTCTTAATTCTAAAATTAATTTCAACTTTCTGGCTGCAAAAAATAAAATATCATATTGTGCGTAGGGAAGTGTTAATATACATTTTCGGCGAAAATAGTAGCACCGTGTGGTACAACAGTCTTTATTGTTTCAAATAATGTGTTCCATACAACAAATCAACAATTTTGAAGATAAAATAAAACTAAAAACGCCATTCCGTAGGGTATGACCATATCTATCAGATCAGAATTGGGATCCGATTGAACCATTATTATAGCCAGAATAAAGAAATTAATATGCAGTGGCTAAACCCACCACGACCCGCAGCTTATATTTGTTTTTGGTGTGAGAAGTGTTGTATATGTAGATGACAGATGAAGAGAAAATGTAAAATTTGACAAAACACCGCTAAGGTGCAGATGTAGTCCTGAGTGCCGGGTATAAAAGTTGTGACGCGTAAGAAACGTCTATCACGTCCCTTCTCGTTTACAATGTACTTGACACAATTTTTGACACGTGTGTCCCACTCTCATGTCCGACTAGATCTGCGAAGCCTCCTTGGTTCACCAAAGAGTTATCCAGTCTAAAGAACCTAAAATCGTGACTATTTAAAAAATCTCAAGAAATTGGTTCTCCCTCTTTCTAATTACTTAATAGCTCGGTAAAATTTCACTGTTTTTAATGCTCAATGCTATAGGAACTACCTACTTCGAAGCAGGATACGTTTTTCACAGGACCCTAAACAGTTTTAGAGCTTTGCAAACAGTAAGCGTAGAACGTCCGCACATCCATCCTCGCTATCATTTTTAAATATGTCGGCACAAAATGATCAGGCAATCGACGCTCTTTTTGCACAATACATTTTAAACAACCTATTCCCAGGAAAGCTACCCAGATCATGTGTATCCATATAGTTTACCAAGGTCGAATAGCATTTTCTGCCCTTTGTTTATTGAAAGCTCCCTACTTCATGAACTTCAATTAGTTAAGGCGGTATTTTTACCGGGCCCTGACGGAGTTCCCGGCCTTGTACTCAGGTACTGTGCCGAGACTCTGTGCGGACCTTTGCTTAAACTATTCACTCTATCCATCCATTCTTCTAGCCTTCCTCCCATCTGGAAGGAATTCTTTATAATTCCTCTCCATAAGAAAGGTGACAAGAGTGACGCTAACAACTATAGAGGTATATCTAATCTAATCTAATCTAATCTTTAGAGTTCACCTCCACCTTACGTTCCAAGGTAACTTGAAGACGGGTGGTATTTACACTGACTTCAGTAAGGCATTCGATTCTGTAAACCATTCTCTTCTTGCGACCTTCTAGGGTTTCCGCCAAATCTTTTGAGATGGATTTATAGCTACCTGCGTTCTAGGTCTCAAAAAATCCTCTTCAAAAACTCCTTATCTTTACCTGGTATGGTTACTTCTGGAGTACCACAGGGTAGCCATTTAGGCCCCTTACTTTTCACACTCTTTATTGCCTGCCTTCTGTATTGACAAATTCTCGAGTACTTATGTATGCGGTTGATGTTAAGCTCTGTGTCCAGTATAAGGACATTTCATCTCACTCTCGCTTGCAATCAGATCTCAATAGCTTTCAGTCATGGTGTGGTGCAAATATGTTACACCTTAATGCACTGAAGTGCAATGTAATGACTTTTTTTTGCTCCTTCCTGGCTCCTTACACCCTCTGCGGTAGTTCTCTTGAGAAAATTACATTAGTGGATAATCTTGGTGTTAAAGTAGACCCCAAGTTAAAGTTTTCTGAACACATTTCACCATGGTAAATAAAGCCATGGGTGTGCCTGGATTTATAAAGAGGTGGTCAGAGGAATTTGATGATCCCTATATAACGAAGACTCTCTATATCTAGCTTGTTCGTCCGATTTTGGAATACGGCTCACGTGTATGGTGCCCTCAGTACAACATACATCAGGACCGTATTGAATCAGTACAGAAAAACCTTTTACTTTTTGACCTGCGTGGCGTTAACTGGGATGCAACTGTGAAAATGCCATCCTACCGTAGTAGACCCCTTCTAATAAATCTTCCATCCTTAGTTAATCGTAGAAAAATGCTTGGTTTAATTTTTATGCACAACTTGAACAAGGGGGATGTAGACAGCCCTGACTTGATGAGCCGCGTAAACTTTACGATTCCCATTCGACCCACTAGAAACTATATTCCTTTGTTCCTTCCACTGTGCAGATCGAATTATGACTTGCACGAACCCTTTAGGGTCTTAGATCGGATTATAATTCCTTCTATCACATTATATCTAACTAACTCCCTTCCCTTCTTAAATCTCTTATACTATCCTACGTCTCCCGTAGTTAGTTTCATTTTAGTTTTGTCTTGTTTCTGACTTTGATAGTTTTGCTTGCTTAGCTTAGTTGCTCTAGTTTAGTTGTGTTTAGCTCTTATTTTCCTCGAATATTAGCCTAACATCTATCTTTCCTGCATGCTCGCGACCGGTTCGGTTTATCGCGCTGCGCGGCATGCGGCACCGCCCCTCGGTCGGTTGGGCGGGAGGAGGGCTGCGTTCTGCTGAGTTTCGCGCGTAACAGGCTTTGGTTATCAACGTCCAGACTAAAAACAAATATCCACATTTCGGAGCAAGAGGTTTCTGAGAGCAAGAGGGGTCCTTTTGAGCCGGCCACAGAGCTTAAAAGGGAACTTAAAAAATGTCCAAAGATAAGCAAAGCTACATCTAACTTAAAAGAATATAAATTAAGTGTCCGAAGTCTGATTTAGCAAAGAAGGCATGGGGCATAGTGAATACAAGGTAGAAAAAACACTGGAGTTGGCCCAAATAAATATGGTTTTAGATCCTGTGATCTGGAGGGATCCAAATGTTGTTTGTTTGTTGCAAAAACTTTAGATCTCATTTAAAACGACTACCAAATTAAAAACAAAACCCTTTAACTGGCATTAAAATCTAATAATCATGCTGAGACAAGAATCATGCATACTATATGTGCATGCTTTTCGTATTATGGGTGTGATATAGTACCCGTGCTGCAATCGATGATGAATCAACATGTCTTTGTTATTATGTAATAAAACAATAAGGCTGCTTTATATGCAATAGAAAATGCCGTTGACACGTGTCTTTTCATCAGGGAAAATACCCAAAACAGACCAGAAGATAGAGAGCTCTGAGGGGTTTTAAAACAGTGCCTTTTATGCAATGTTTTCTCTTGCTCAGTACCCAGACATTAACTATGGTGATAATCTTTGAAGAAGAGTTAGAGAATATGTTTCTTATACGAAATTAAAGAAAAAGCTTAATATTGGGGAGTCCTGCCAGATTTGTTGAGATGAATCCCTCAGCCTTTTTTTGCTGCCAAAAGCTTTAAAACAAATTATTAACCTTTGAATACAATTAAAGTAAACTATAGAAAAATAAAAATTGTGGAAATTTTTGTAAAATTTGACGTTTTTGTAGTTTTTATGAAACTGGTGCTATTTTCCTTCCAAATATTTCCAACTAAAGCCATCAAAGCATATCTCTCTCGGATAAGTTGAACTAAGCCTCAAAGTTGATATAATAGTTTTAAAAACGTTCATTAGAACCATTGTTTTTACAAAATATCTCAAAGAGAAATTAGTGATCATGGTGCTATTTTATACGCCGCAACAAAAATTTGTATGCGCCCAACCTGACGCATCGACAAGCAAGCAAGCACTGAACTCTACGGAAATAATACGATGAACGCAGCCGACGACGGGCCCTACTTATATAATTGCTTCATGGTTTTGCGCCCTTAGCAGGGTGACCGTTTACGGTATATACTCTTCGGTATATTTTGACATCGAAATTGAGTCGACGGTAAATCGAAATATATATAGGTATATTTCGATATATTACGGTATATTTCCACAAATTTTCGTGAAGAATATAGACAGGAGGGAGAGACTCTGCCAGACACTAAAAATTGTCTATGCAGGGGCAACGATTCGATCTATACCTATTTCAAGGCTTTAGGCATTATGAGTCTATTGCATTAATTTGATAACACGCTGCCAACCAAAAGCACAAGGAAATATTCTCTACAACCTTATGCGGACGCTCTAAGATATTTAAAAGATGTTTTTCTCTTAGCTTCTTGTTCGCTATGTTAATATAATCGCCTTTAAAATATAAATCGATTCGTTTATCGAGAAATAAAGTTTAGCAGATAACTACCTACCGTAATGCATAAAGCAACTATATAAGGAGGTCTCGTCGGAAAAAATTATGGACTAGTGCGAGTGAAAAGTGCGAGTGAAAGTGCTCTCGCTGTAAGTGTGAGGGCAACGACAATGGAGTGCGCTGATTAATCATTTGAAGGCAAAGTGAAAAAACATAATAATTGTTTCATAATTTAATTTTTAATAGTTTGCTACATAATAGTAGCCTCTGTTCCGAAAAAAATAAACATTAATAAAAAAATAGACAAAAAAATGTTGTCCGCAACCAACCTTCCGCGTCGAGAAGCAAACGTGCACTGAGAATTGGGTAACGCAGCGAGTAACTCTGCCACCGACGAGGCCTCCTTATATAGTTGCTTTATGCCGTAATGTGCAATGGGCCTACATATACTTCCCGTACGAGAAAATATTCTCTGAAGAGACTTGAATAAAAATCAACATTAGAAATAGATTTACAAACAATAATGTATCTAATGTATTATTGTATATAAGACAAAATTTAAGACAGAAATATAATCCAAAGGATATTAAAAAGTGATGAAGATAGAGAATACGGTTAATATAAAGGACAATAAAGGTTTGTATTTAAAGGACTACTACGAAAGGAAAGAAATGATCTCTAATAAAGAAATAATATGGGTTTGTTACGTTTTATTTATATAAATATATTATGTTTAATAGGTATATTTTACGGTATATTATGTATACGCGTCACAACTGTTATACCCGGTCCTCAGTTGGTATTTCGGTACCTATTGTTTTTATACCCGGTACTCGAAGAGTAAATAGGGTATATTGTATTTGTGCGAATAAAGGTTGTGTGTACCGCACAGAAGGAAACGTTTCCGACCCCATAAAGTATATATTTTCTTGATCAGCATCAATAGCCGAGTCGATTGAGCCATGTCTGTCTGTCCGTCCGTCTGTCCGTTCGTCTTCTTGAGCGACTGGATCTCAGAGACCACAAAAGCTAGAGCCACTAAATTTTGCATCCAGACTTCACACACTGTTACAAGTGTATTTCAAAAAGGAGCCCCGTCCCCTTCCGCCCCCGCAAAAGGGCGAAAACCTTCCAAACCCACAATTTTGAAGATAAAAGAAAACTAAAAGCGCCATTCCGTAGGGAATACTTATATCTATCAGATCATCAAATTGGATACGATTGGATGATTATTATAGCCACAATGAAGAAATTTACTTGCAGTGGCTAAACCCACCCCGTCCCGCAGCTTATATTTCTTTTTTTTTTGTGTGCGTGCGCTGCCTGGGTCTAGGGAAGGGCGGCGAGCTAACGGAGCGTGTTGGTGTGAGAAGTGTTGTAGATGTAGAAGACAGATGAAGAAAAAATTTAAAATTTGACATAACAACGCTAAGGTGCAGATGTAGTCCTGAGTACCGAGTACAAAAGTTGTGACGCGTAAGAAACGTCTCACACGTCCCTTCTCGTTTTTTTTTTGTGTGCGGACGGTGCTTCTGCCTCTGCCTCGAGTCTACAGTATGTGGGTCTAGGGAAGGGCGGCGAGCTAACGGAGCGTGTTGGTGTGAGAAGTGTTGTAGATGTAGATGACAGATGAAGAAAAAATTTAAAATTTGACAAAACACCGCTAAGGTGCAGATGTAGTTCTGAGTGCCGGGTATAAAAGTTGTGACGCGTAAAAAGCGTCTCACACGTCCCTTCTCGTTTTATTTAGAGAAAATATCAATATATTGACATTTGGATATAATTTTGACAGCGCAACCCTCAAGGGCATATAACTTACAGCTTTTCAAATTTAAAATGAAAAGCACTGCGTATGGATTGTATGCACATACATATGTACAGCTGTGAAAAAAATAATAGCACCAACAGCACAAGCAATTTCACAAATAGTTGCCCAACTCACATTTTCAACTATAAGGAAACATTAAGCACATTTTTTGAAATGGAAGACTCACAAATCTGGGAATAACACAAAAATCTTATTTTTTAACGGGCTTTAAGTTATTTACGGAAATTGAGTGAAAATTATAAAATTGGGCAAAAAAAAATAAGAGCACCACTTTTGAAAAATGAACTTAAAATTTAACGAGAAGGGACGTGTGAGACGCTTCTTACGCGTCACAACTTTTGTACTCGGCACTCAGTACTACATCTGTACCTTAGCGGTTATTTGTCAAATTTTAAATTTTTTCTTCATCTGTCACCTACATCTACAAAACGTCTCACGCCAACACGCTCCTTTAGCTCGCCACCCTCCCCTAGAGCCACACACTGCAGAGTCAGGGCAGAGACGCGGCAGAGGCAGAGACGTGACTGCGCGAAGCAGAGTGTGAATGAGAGAATGTGCAAAAAAAACTAATATAAGCTGCGGGACGGGGTGGGTTTAGCCACTGCAAATAAATTTATTCATTGTGGCTATAATAATCATCCAATCGGATCCAATTATTGATCTGATAGATATGGTCATTCCCTAAGGAATGGCGTTTTTAGTTTTCTTTTATCTTCAAAACTATAGGTTTGGGAGGTTTTCGCCTTTTTGAGGGGACGGAAGAGGGCGGGGCTAATTTTTTAAATACACTGGTTTCAGTGTGAGCATACAGCAGTCTGGAGCCAAAATTTGGTGGCTCTAGCTCTTATAATCTCTGAGAACTAGCCGACAAACAAGACGGACAGACAGACAGACACGGAACGGAATTGAACGTGGATCCTTTCTTAAATAAACTTGTAACAGTGTGAGCATACAGAAGTCTGGATGCAAATTTGGTGGCTCTAGCTCTTATAGTCTCTGAGTACTAGGCGCTCATCAGGACAAACAGACGGACACTCTTCCTTCTGTGCGTTAGTCGCACAAATACAATATACCCTATTTACCTTTACTCTTCGAGTACGGGGTATAAAAAAAGAGCGCTGGCACATAATGACATATGTATGTACACATGTATGTATGTATGCGCCTGTCCATGAAGCAACTATATAAAGAGGCCTCGTCGGTGGCATAAAGCAACTATATAAGGAGGCCTCGTCGGTGTCAGAGTTACTCGCTGCGTTACCCAATTCTCAATGCACGTTTGCTTGTCGACGCGGAAGGTTGGTTGCGGACAAAATTGTTTTTTCTATTTTTCTTTAAATGTTTATTTTTTCAGAACACATAGCCACTAACAGTAGCCATTACGTAGCAAACTATTAAAAATTAAATTATGAAACAATTATTATTTTTTTTCACTTTGCCTTCAAATGATTAATCAGCAAAGCGAATATACGTGTCTGGGCACACTGCAAGCACGTGGGGAACATAACCTCTACGCCAGGTAAGTATTGGAGCAAAACTGTAACAAGTTACATATTTCGACGTGGCGATTTCCCCCTTGTAAAGGCGGGTGGCCAAATAATTCCCCTCTACCCAAGGGTAGAGCGGTAACTTAAAACCTCAAAAAAAAAAAAATGGATAATCAGCACACTCCATTGTCGTTTCCCTCTCACTTACAGCGAGAACCCTTTCACTCGCACTAGTCCATAATTTTTTCCGACGAGACCTCCTTATATAGTTGCTTTATGCGCCTGTCCAAGCTCTTTTCTTTGTTTGCTCTCTGAGACCGTTTTTGTGTTACAGTGTTTGCATGTGTTGGGAATTTGGAAAATGCAGGTCACCGAATCAAGCGCTTCTTTTGTTTTACTTGAACTAAAAATCCTTTCAATGTTTCGTTCTGATTCTGCTATATTTTTTTATCCCGATTATGCTGAGCAGGAAGGAAGATGCGACAGCAACAGTGGACGGCTGTTTTCTCAGCATATCAAAAACAGCTCGACAAAAATCATACATATTTACATACATATACGAGAAAGAGCTCCTTATGTACTTTTCAATTTACAAATATTAATTAGTTCACTTCATTTCAAGTTTACCAGAGGCTGACCGACGTGGTCTCTCTGCTGCGGTGCATCGTGCGTGTGTACATATGTACATAATTTACACACAAATGCGTATGTATGCATTTATGTATTTTTTTGCTTTCGAGAACGTATTATTGAAACTTTTATTGTACTTACCTCTTTAAAAGTGCAAGAAACGCGAGTAAGCATCAACAAGATTGTGGTTTGACTGCAAGGTGCTCTTTTTTTTCTTTATTATTGGGGATGCGTTTGACCACAGACATACTTCTGTACATATATGTATGTACCCAAGAAGTGGAGTAGCTAAGAGCTCTCTCAAAAAACCCAAAGCGCTTTGGTTACACACACATTTTGATTACATTATTTGATATTACAGTTTTATAGGTATGTACATATGTACTGTCCAAAACGAGATATCGTATCCGAATATTTTAAAGAAGTGCAATCTGTACTTCTAATTGAACTGGGAACTCGGATTTACTACAATTGTTACCACACGCGCAGGCTGGGTGATCTAAAATGCGAGTTTATGCTAAAATGAATATGAAGACGATTTGCTTGCCTTCCAATCTGACGCATAGCGCACGCGATTTAGCGATTTAGCTTTCACTTCTAGCTCGCACACTATGAACACGAAATTAAACTTTTACAAAATTAAAAAAAGTTTGGTGGTTTTGGTAGAGCGGGGAGGTGGGGGCGCTTTACTAATGAGAAAGACAGAGAATGTGACCGTGGAATCATCGATAAAATATACCCGATATATAGATCACAAAAAAGTATACACGAGCAAAAACAGGGATGATATTCGAATGATGAGAGAGAGAGAGACCGAAGAGAGATTTCGCCTAGCCAAATGTGTTAGCTTTTAGGCCTAGTACCTCTAAGCAAACAACTCATAGAGATTGCAAATCGAGTAAAAACTGGCTGCCTAATCAGCTTAGTGGATTGGCTCCCAGTGCCTACGGATCTTGGTGAGAGAGGCTTTGGCTGAGAGAGTTTGGCGTTGGCTCTCTTGACCATTGAACGCAAAGCGACTCTCGCAAAAACAAAGTTTTGTTGTTCCTTTCAAGTCTGCTTCGTAATTTCATGTGTGCGGTGAAACATATGTACATACATACATGATGGCAATGCGTGTATCTATTCTCGACTTGTTATGAGTTTTCATTTTTATGGTATATTATGATGTTTTTAACCGTTTATCCCTTTCGTCCTAACTGTATTTAAGATATATATGAGCACGGGGATACACAAAATCAATTTATTATTTTTGGGGGCAAGCTTCTTCATAAAGTCTTAAGTTTGAAGGAAGAGTATGTGAGTTCAAAAGCAACACAAAAGTGCCAAACATCTCAAGTGCTAAAAATGAAAACGCATATGAATTCGAGAATAGATACACGCATTGCTATCATTTATGTATGTGTCACACAAGCAATTAAGAAGCAGACTTTAAAAAGAAAACTTTGTTTTTGCGAGAGTCGCTTTGCGTTCAATTCTCAAGAGAGCCAACGCCAAACTCTCTCAGACGAAGGCTCTCTCACCAAGAGCCGTAGGCACTGGGAGCCAATCCACTAAGCTGATTAGGCAACCAGTTTTTACAACGGTTGACCACTCTATGAGTTGTTTGCTTAGTGGTTTAACGCTTTTCTCTATACTTTTCGAGCACATTCGTTCAGAGGAAACAGCTGACCGATTATGCGATGAAGCCACTGTAACGCTGTCCGTCTGTCAATCCGTCTTGATGAAGGCCTTGATCTCAGCGACGATAAAGCCAGAAAAACCAAGTTTTATGTCCATACTACTACAATAAGTATGCAAGTGTATTTTAAACGCGGAGGAACGTTGTTATATGCGTGCGTATGCGTCACAACTTTTATAACTGGTACTCAGTCAGTATATACATATCTATGAACGTATGTACATATGTTTTTAGCCGTATGCTTTTTTCTAGATTGTTGATACCGCAGTTTTTCGCCCCTTTGGGGGCTCGGCTAATTATACCCGGTACTCGAAGAGTAAATAGGGTATATTGTATTAGTGCAAAAAGTGAATGTATGTAACTCCCAGAAGGAAACGTTTCCGACTCTATAAAATATATATTTTCTTGATCAACATCAATAGACGAGTCGATATGCGTGTAGCAGATGTAGCTGGGACTTCTGGCTGCGTGCTCTACACGCACTTACACAAATGTAGCTGGGACTTCTAGCTGCGTTTTCTACACGCACTAATACTTGTAGCTGCGACGTTGGCAGAGGCCTGGGACTTCGCGACGCACATTCTGCGGTGACGTTTCGCTTCCTTTGAATTGACAATCTACTATACTATTTGGTTAAAAATAAATTATTTTGCATCGGTTTCTTTTATTTTATTTTTGAAAAAGAATATTTTGGTATATTTTCGCGGCCCTTACGGTATATTTTATCGGTAATGTCGCGGTCACACTGTGTATATGGCACGTCAATAGTTACGAATTCTATTGTGAAGCATAGCGTATAGCATCCAGCCCAGTGCCCAGTCCACAATAAATTTGTAACAATGGTTTGGATACAGTGGCCCTTCTTTAAAAACAGTACAGCTTATATATTTGTCTTTTTCAGAGTGCCCTATTCAATTTTCAAAGCTTGCTGTCCGTCATCCTGCTTCTGATCTGCACATGTGCCTATTTGCGGTCCATGTTCCCCAGCATTATCGACCGAAAAAAGACTGGGTAGGATCCATCAAAACACCCTCCTACCGTTCTAGTACAAAATGTATCTCTTCCTTGCAGGCTACTTGGAACCTTTTGGAAGTTGGCGCGGATTGGCGAGCGAAAATCGCCATGGGTCGGCGCCTCTTGCCTCTTGATGGCGTTCACAGTTCTCTTTTGGAGCTAACTTTAAGTTTTAGTACTGAGAATATTCATGGCTCAAACGCAACAGACAAATTTGTATAGTGTAAATATGTGCATATCGATTTACTTGAGTACATTCACACTTATTTAACATTGTAAATACATATGTACATACATATGTGTGAGTATAAACATTTGTATGCATTATTTACCATTGGAATTTGATGTGAGCTGACTGATGTTGATTGCGACTGAACCTAATCGACTATAATTATGTCTACGGACAGGAGCACTGAAGAGCTGCGCATGTTTTGGCCAGCAGAACAATACGAACGCCGGCACTAGAGCATGAAACGGTTGACAGTTTCAGAAGAGTCAAGCTTTAGATCTAGCCTCTTTTGGATCCCAAACGGAAATATATTGACCAGCGTTCAACTAGATTTTGTGGAAATCTGGAATCCACGAATCTGAGAGGCCTACCCCGGGAGCAGAAGAAACAATCTCGGCATCGCCGGCACCCAATTCATGAAGAGCAATCGGTTGGTTTAATTGCATTTTGATTTGTTAATTTCTATTGAGGATGATACACATTTCCATATAAAGCTCTCATTTTTAATTCATTCAACTGAAACGCTTATCGGGACATAAAGAATTCCAATATGTGTTTTTTTTTTGCTTGTTATAGTTTGATAGTTCATTGAGTGATCAAGCTTTCCCCCAATCTACTTGGTAGAAACACGCGTGCGCTTGTTCCATGAAAAGTTGACTCCGTAGTTCTTGACGCGGTCCTTCTTGGACTTCACTTCGCCGTCGATATACCAACGCCACCCGTTTCGTTCACAGTAGGTAATAGCTTCATCTTTGCTGCCGAACTGCACATTTAAATTAGACAAGGGGTCGCCACTGTGAAATACGCAGGATTAATGTGTACCAGGCCATTAACACGATAATCGCTATACTTACGAAGAGGCCCAGCCCATGAGAGGGTTTTCCCATCGCTCCCTATTGTCGAACTCAATCTGCCAATTGTTGATGTTGTCGGTTCCGCTTTGCATTGCATTCTTAGGTGGTATGTGAATGCGCACACGACGTTCCTTAAGCTGCACCCCAGGCACTCCGGAAATGGGACCAAGATTTACGGCAGTGGGCACGGTGATAGTTCCACTCAATTTGTTACGCTGTTCCAACTCCTCAGGACGGGCCAATGCCGCTTGTATATCGAGCGGAGCGGTATCTTTGGTAGACGTGCAACGAGAGGCTGCGATTATATTGGCTTTTAATCTACAGTACCACCCAAAAACAAATTGAATGGTTAACATTACTGAGATTTGCGAAGTTTGACACTTACAACTGAAAGGATTTAGTCCTGCACATGACTCGGCATAGGAGCGACATTTTTGCAATTAGAATTACGTAAAATTGGGAACACAGATAAATCGGGTTTGTTTAGTATAGGGTCGTTCGTGAGCGAACCAAAAAGAACCATGAACTGCAGTGAACGGAATGAATAATAGGCTCTGCATACTGAACCCATTCCAGTGGAACATTGGGATTTTTTAAAGATGTGAAACGCCTGTTCACATGGCACCATCCATCATGCATGAACAAATGGATGATGCTTATAATATCGTGCCAGGGAAATTGGTCAATAAATTTTGATTAGACTTTTTGTTTTTTTGGTATCCCGCAACGTTAACAAAATCCACCATTTTCAGTTTGAATTTCAATTTCTTTTTTAATTTTTGTGGTGCTGGATACCAGGCTATATTTTGCTTGTGCAGCCACTAAGCAAAGCAACACAAAAGTGCCAAAGTCTCCAGCGCTAAAAATGTAAACTCATATGAAGTTGAGAATAGATACACGCATTGCCATCATGTATGTATGTACATATGTGTCACCGCACACATGAAAGCAGACTTGAAAGGAAAAACAAAACTTTGTTTTTGCGAGAGTCGCTTTGCGTTCAATGATCAAGAGAGCCAACACCAAACTCTCTTAGACGAAGGCTCTATCACCATGAGCCGAAGGCACTGGGAGCCAATCCACTAACATGATTAGGCAGCCAGGTTTTGCCACGTTTGAGCACTATGAATTGTTTGCTTAGTGGTGGAACGCAACTAGCACAGGCATACGAATCAGCTGTGTTTTGTAAATATGTATCCTGCAGTGGCAGTTGAAACTAAAACTGAAAATACAAAAGTAACAAGAAGAGCTGGTATTTGAATTGAGAATGCATTTGGCGTTTGCCAATAATGCATATGGTTTGCCGAACGTCCATTATTGCCAAAAAAGCACAAATAATAAATAATTTTATTTACTAATTTCCGACGATCTATTTCGACTCTCTTTTACGTTTTTGAGAGCACTTGTTTCTTCCACCTCCACCTCCTACACACCAGAAATAATTGTAATCATATATTTCTTGGCTGTCTACCAGATGTTATCTCAGTCACTAACCAAACGTCACCGCAGAATGTGCGTCGCGAAGTCCCAGGCCTCTGCCAACGCCGCAGCTACAAGTATTAGTGCGTGTAGAACACGCAGCCAGAAGTCCCAGCTACATTTGTTTAGTGACCAGATGTTATCTCAGTCCACTCACGCACTTCGCATCGATATATCGATAAGAATCTGTGGACTTTTTCAACGTTGCTGGATACACAAGAAACAAAAAGTCGATCCAACAATTTTTGGCTCAGTTTGTTTTTAAATCAAGTTTGGCAGAAATGTTTTGTTTTTGTGGTGCTGGATACCAGTCTTTTGGCAGATATTTTTTGTTTTTGTGGTGCTGGATACCAGTCTTTTGATAGAAATTTGTTTTCTTTGTGGAGCTAGATACCAGTCTTTAAACCCGCCTTAATCACACCATTTTTTGTCGTCTTAACTTTAAATTTACTCTGAATTTAGGAAAAGCAATTCTTTTTCAGGTTCACAATTTTCTCAGCCACTTTATCTCTTAGATTTTGACTAACATATAATATTGGATACATTTGTGTTCGTATATCTATTTCTAATGCTTCTTTTTATTAAATTCACTTCAGAGAACATTCTCTCACACGAAAGCGTTGGGTACGGACAGTAAAAGATCATTGCAGCAGGAGATATTACATTCATTCGACTCCTCTTACTTTTGCTTTACCTTCACAGACGAATCAATCTATTAATGAAAGACGATGATATTAACATAGTGAACTAAAAGGTGACAAAACAAAATTATTTTTAAATATCTTAGTTCGTCCGCAAAATATTGTAAAGAATTTTTCTTTTACTTTGCTGTGGCAGCGTGTTCTCTTATTGATGCAATGCTCCTCATAATGTCGACATTGCAAGCCTTGACTCTTGACGCCCTTTCACTCTCACTTATTGACAGCATTGTTACGTTTCCCTCTAAAAAGCCGACGAGTCCTCCTTTATAGTTGCTTCATGGTCTGGTAGAGCCTCCCAATCCTGTCAATATTTTTGTTTGACATCTGTTTGAAATCGTCTCGAAAATGTGTGGAAAGTGTAACTTTCTCAATTATACCGTAATATACCGAAAAATTGTCGAAATTTACATATATATATATCGATTTAAGCCTTGTACTCATATCGAAAAACACACTTGCTAACGAAATGTGCAATATATTTTGCTAGCAGCAGCGTGTGACCAGAGCTGAACCACATTCCGTACGGTTACACTTCTCAGGCAGCTGTGTTGATTTGTTTACCTTCTTGAAAATGTGTGAAAATTGAATAAAACGTTAATAAAACAATGAATGCAAAATGGATCCATGCAGGAGATTGCTTTTAGTGGGATTGGCGGCTCATGCATGCTCGGAGGAGGAGGACAATTAAACCCATATCTGGAGGAAAGAAACCAGGACGGTCGTTGTCCATACATTTGAGTATTATAGATCATATAAAAATGTGTTCATTTGGAAACGATACCCTTTGCATATTCCGAAGTTTGAAAATATGACAAAGATGCTCATGCTGAAATTTAATACACCCGAACACCACCCGGCAGACCACCATGTATAGTTGCATCATGGTACTGGGTTCCAATCCCCTATACACTCTATGCAGCCAGTTTTTAGTAGCTTTTAGTAGTTCTTTGACGCCTCTATGAGTTGTTTGCTTAGTGGTGGTACGAGGCTTCAAAAACAAGCACAAACATCGATATATATATACATATAAGTCGAGAAATTTACTGATATATTTGATACACCCCTAGGTGGAAGCTGTGGACTCCTTCCTAGTATTGACAGTGACCAAGCAATAGTTGCTCTGACTTAGGTTTTGCCAGTAAAAGTTTACGCTTGGGCTGATATGGGTGTTCCGAAGTTTTTTCGCTATATCAGCGAAAGGTATCCATGCCTGAGCGAATTGGCGCGCGAGCACAGCGTAAGTTATGGGTCAATGTTATATACCCCACCACGTCATCAGCTGTTTGCAATCCTTTTCATGCTGAAAGATTCCTGAATTCGATAACCTTTACCTGGACATGAATGGCATCGTCCACAACTGCTCTCATCCGGATGACAACAATATACACTTTTACATGGAGGAACAGCAGATATTTCAGGAGATATTCAACTATGTGGATAAGCTATTCTACCTGATTAAACCTCAGAAACTCTTCTTCCTGGCTGTTGATGGAGTTGCCCCAAGGGCGAAAATGAATCAACAAAGAAGTCGTCGCTTCCGCTCTTCTCGAGAGGCTGAGTTGCAGGAGGCCAAATCGCTGCAAAGAGGAGAACAGCGGGAGCACGAGAGATTTGATAGTAACTGTATCACACCAGGCACTGATTTCATGGAGCGGCTGCAACAGGGTCTCCGTTTCTTCCTAAAGACAAAGATCTCCACGGATCCACTCTGGCAGAAGTGCTCTGTGATTCTCAGTGGACAGGAGACGCCGGGCGAGGGTGAACACAAGATTATGGACTACATCCGCTTTTTGAAGGCCCAACCTAACTTTGACCCCAACACCAGGCACTGTTTGTATGGCCTGGACGCGGATCTTATTATTCTGGGTATGTGCACGCACGAGTTGCACTTTGTGGTTCTACGCGAGGAAGTCAAGTTTGGGCGCAATGTTAAACGTGCTTCCGTCGAAGAGACGCGCTTTTTCCTCTTACATCTCGGGCTGCTTCGGGAGTACCTTGAACTGGAGTTCCACGAGCTGACCACCGCTCAACAGAAACTAGATGTGGCACAGCTAATCGATGACTGGGTCCTTATGGGCTTCATGATCGGCAACGATTTTATTCCTCATCTGCCCTGCCTTCATATCTCCTCCAATGCCCTACCGCTGTTGTACAAGACCTACATACGTATTCACCATTCCCTTGGTGGCAACATCAACGAACACGGCAAGCTCAACCTGCAGCGACTGCAGACCTTCATGACGGCTCTTAGCGAAGTAGAGTTGGAGCAGTACAAGGAGCATGCCGACGATCTAAAATATACGAATTCCAATACAGAGGCCTTTGACATAGACATTCAAGAGAAATCTTCCAAAAACTACGATTCTGACTTGGAAGCCTTGATCGATGACAGCGTTAAGGTTGGACCGTCCTTCCCTGAATATTATATCAATTACTATTGTTTCGTTATTCATTGTTTTTCTGATTCGCTTGTAGCTCTACACAGACGACAGTGAGGATCTAAACGACGAAGAATGTGGCATGATAAAAGAGTTCCAAAACTACAAACGTAACTATTACCGTAACAAGTTTAATATTAGCTCGTGGGGACAGAATCAGCTGATCGAAAATTTGGGGCAACACTATGTGACGGCGCTGCAGTGGATCCTGGATTATTATTATAGGGGTGTACAATCGTGGGACTGGTACTATCCCTTTCACTATGCCCCTTTCATCAGTGACCTGAATAGTGTCGAGACTGTTAAGATAAAGTTCCAGTTAGGAACGCCTTTTCTTCCCTTCGAACAGGTATGTGATGCTCCCTTCTACTTGTAGTACAAACTGTTCATATACACTTTTCATTTCAGTTACTCGCTGTTTTGCCGGCAGCCAGCTTCAGGCTCCTTCCTGCTGCCTATCACGATCTCATGCTAAAACCGACCAGCCCGTTGGCGGAATTTTACCCCACAGAATTTAAGAGCGATCTGAATGGTAAAAAGCACGACTGGGAGGCCGTCGTTCTCATACCGTTCATAGACGAGTGCCTACTACTCAGCGCAATGCGGCCTTGCGAAGCTCAGCTTTCGACCGAGGAGAGAGCTCGAAATAGGCACGGACCTATGTACCAGTACGACTACAGTCCCCACGATGCGGGCTCGATGGCAGCCCTGCCACCGCTGAAGGCTCTGCAGCGCGTCAACTGCACCGAAGTGGCCCGGTGGGCCGGAGATATTATCCTGAATCTCTCACACAGCGTTTGTGTTGAAATGCCGAATTCGGCGCGCCACGTCTTCTTCCCTGGCTTTCCTACTATGAAGCATCTATCCTTCGATGTATGTATTATTATAATGAACTTATGAGCTTTTTTTTAGAATTCAAGCGCCGCATATTTGGTGTGNGCCACCCTTTCCTAGAGCCACACACTGCAGTGTCCCGGCAGAGGCAAAGGCAAAGGAACGCGAGAGGCAGAGGCCGCACACTGCAGAAGCAAAGTGTGAATGAGAGAATGTAAAAATAACAAATATAAACTGCGGGACGGGGTGGGTTTAGCCACTGAAAATTAATTTCTTCATTGTGGCTATAATAATGATCCAGATGTTCCAGTTAGGAACGCCTTTTCTTCCCTTCGAACAGGTATATGATGCTCCCTTCTACTTGTAGTACAAACTGTTCATATACACTTTTCATTTCAGTTACTCGCTGTTTTGGCGGCAGCCAGCTTCAGGCTCCTTCCTGCTGCCTATCACGATCTCATGCTAAAACCGACCAGCCCGTTGGCGGAATTTTACCCCACAGAATTTAAGAGCGATCTGAATGGTAAAAAGCACGACTGGGAGGCCGTCGTTCTCATACCGTTCATAGACGAGTGCCTACTACTCAGCGCAATGCGGCCTTGCGAAGCTCAGCTTTCAACCGAGGAGAGAGCTCGAAATAGGCACGGACCTATGTACCAGTACGACTACAGTCCCCACGATGCGGGCTCGATGGCAGCCCTGCCACCGCTGAAGGCTCTGCAGCGCGTCAACTGCACCGAAGTGGCCCGGTGGGCCGGAGATATTATCCTGAATCTCTCACACAGCGTTTGTGTTGAAATGCCGAATTCGGCGCGCCACGTCTTCTTCCCTGGCTTTCCTACTATGAAGCATCTATCCTTCGATGTATGTATTATTATAATGAACTTATGAGCTTTTTTTTAGAATTCAAGCGCCGCATATTTGGTGTGCATTATATTTCGTTAGTTTGAGTTGCGGCACGGTCGGGTGAAAGTCTTTGAGCAAGTCAGCCGCAACCAAAACATGGTGCTGATGCCACGAAAGCAAACGATGGATGATTCATTGGATTCATTTGCTGCACGGTATTTGGAAAAGGTGGTGCACATTGGATGGCCCCATCTTATAATGGCCAAGGTTGTAATGGTCGCCACACGGAACCAGTGTATCGACAAGGAGGGAAAGTCTTCCAACGAATCGCGACGATTTGATATGGAGTGCAAGACGCTGCAAGAACAGTTGAGTGCTGCCTTGTTATCCGTGCTGTCAGTCTTTAATGCCTTTAAAATTCGCTCCATTATATTCAGCTTTAGTACGCGCATGGGCATTCAGTTCGACAACTACGATGTTCTCGTATACGTTCGAACGTACGCGGGAAGTTCCGTCCATTTTGGCGCAAAGGGCACTGTGCAAATGAAGGATGCCTGGAGTAGCAGTATTACTGAATACCCTGCTCAGGGCTTGGTATGCGAACTGTCTGTGCAAAATAACATGCGCCAGCAATTCTCCAAAATAGAGCAACTTTTCCCCTCCGGCAGCTTAGTTTTTTTCATCGGCAGTCCTTATTATGGTAGCGAAGGCACTGTACTGGACCCACTGCTCGTCTATAGCTGCGGACGCATCCAGAGTAAGCGTTGTTCAGAAATTGTAGATGCTTTCTGCTCTTTGTCTCCGCCAACTTTAATACAGCCTGAGTGTTTTTGTAGTAAATATTCGGGTTCTTCCCGAACCGAACATGGAGGAGGCGCGTCAGGAGCAGGACGAACGCGATAAGGACTATATAAATACCTTCGACGTCTGCCGCCAGCTGAACATCAATGGCAGAGCCCTGGGCCGTCTGACCGGCACCTTCTGGGTGGTGCTCGGCCCGCGGCGCGAAAAGATGGAAAACGTAGCCAAACACAATATAGGACTCCAGTTGAAGTATCCCCGACAGAACGAGGTGCGGGCCGGTTACTGCCGCCGCTCAAACAACCAGTGGTTCTACTCTAGCCTAGCCCTCGAGCTGATGCAAAGATACTGCGAGCGCTTTCCTGAGGTAGTCAAGTACTTCAACGTTAGCAACGATAGGAACGAGTACTTTTTTGAACAAGACATTTTCCCGGATGCCATGGGTCAACACCATATTGAGGATCTGGCTAATTGGGTACGTCAGCAACCGCACATGAAGGTGGATCGCATTGCCTGCGGCTCCAAGACAGTCTGCAAGGAAACTGTGGAACTGCTGATTTTCGCCGTCGAGGAGCTGCGTCCAATGCCTGTGAAGGATGTAAAGCTGCAGGTGAAGCCGCACCTCCTCATTAAACCAAATGTCACACTGCCCGAAGCGTATAAATCACGTCGACCTGTGCGCCTCTTCGATCGCGTCATAATCGTTCGCACCATCTACATGATTCCAGTCGGCATCAAAGGTACTGTCATTGGCGTACACCCTGTCACCGATCCCAATCCTGTTCGGCTAGAGTGCGTTCGTGCCATCGACACCTTCTGTGAGGTTCTCTTCGACAAGTCCATTCCCAACTGCAACGACATTCACGGCATAGCGGAGGAGCGTGTTTACAAGATACCAGAAAATGCTCTCCTTGTAATTTGCTTAAATGGTGAGTAGTACATCCACGCCCTCTTTTATCCAAAAGTGAATTTCGATAGCTACAGCCATGGCTATATCCATGAACAAGGCCATTAACCTTGTTCTACCTGCTTTACTTTTGGCCCAAGGAAATCGATGTCAGCTAATTCCCAAAATTCTCTCGCTTAGAAAATGGACAGAATCAGCAGTCAGAAATTCGGAAAAGGCGACAGAGCTTTCATCATTCCAACCAAACGAACGCCCCTCGTATTGAAAAGCGAGAACAACAGAATATAAAGCCACAACGGCAGCAGCAGCAACCACGGGTGACTAGCAGACGTTACGTTACGGCTGCAGGGTCGAACTGGAATGAAATCACGATGAAAACTAAGATTGCCCATGAGTTTGTCAAGCCGCGGTCCGACTTCCCGTTTAAATTTGAGCAGGCCAAGTCGGCTCAAGATGGTGCACACCATCAGCAATGTTATTTTGCCAACCGGAGTTTTTCGACCTTGCAAACTAAGCCTCAAGTGGAGGACACAAAGGAAAGTTGTGGCCAGAGGTCTACTCGACTTCAGGGAGGCAGTGTTGGCACAGTTCCGAAACCAAGAACCACATCGCAAGCGATCGCGACGCCACAAGAACAGACTTTAGCTCTCATGTCGCTTCTGGGCTTGAATAAAGAGCAGGACCCACTGCAGCAGCCACTTGGTCATGTAACTCGTATGTACCCGCAACAGCAACAGCAACAAACGCTAAAATTTCAATCACAAATAGTGAAGCGACCACTTCCTGGACAAATGCCTGTGAGTGAAATTTCAAACGTGTCTGGATACATTTTTCTTCCAATTTCAAAATCCGAATTTTGACCTAGAAACTGCCACAGCCTCCGCTCTTTTGGCAGAAGGAGGCTCAGCAGCAAAAACAGCAGGCACAGCAAGCCAACCGCGTTCAGACCCAACATTGCTTTAAATCTCTGCAGACACTGGAGGTAGATCTTCGTCAGAAAGATGCGTGTCTCACACAGCAGCATGCTAATCACCAGAATCAAATACAACGGCATTCGCAACAGATGCCTCCCCATATGTACCTAATGACTAATAACAACGGAAACCAAGAATATTATAAAAAACCGCTGGGGCATGAAGTCTATAATAATAGCAACCTTCGGACAACACTTGAGCAGAAACAGGATCAGGCACAACATCCCCAGCATCTGCAATATATAGTCAGTACCAGACCTCATTATTCTTCTATAAAAGACTTTGTGCCCATACAGGCATATCGTCCCAAGATATCGCAGTGCCATCAATCAATCGGTCAATCGGCGAAAGTGGTGAGTTTATATCACAAATTTTCAATTAATTTAAAGTTTTATATTTTTCATAGCCGTCGTCGACAACAGCAGAAGTAAACTCCCGAACTAGTCCTCGGAAGGCAGTACCAGACAAAATTACTGCTGCACTGAAACAAACGCTGAACACACAGGTAAGAATTAGAGCAATCGACAGGCTAAATGTCCATAATCCCTCTTTTCCTCTAGCCTTCGACATCGCAAGCTGAATGTACTACCGTGTTAGATGGGAAGGTCGATTCGGGTGCAGGTGCAGATACAGATGCAGGTGGAGCATCCACAACAGCCCAGGTAGTTAGAAGCACTATCCTTAAGCACTTTTTCGCCCACTTAAGCCCTTATTATGTGTCTCTTTCTTTTTTGCGCAGCTAAAGATGAAGAAACAACGAGTTCCTCGTATTGGCGCAAAATTCGATTTGGATTATATTATACATTGAACTCAAAAGACGAAGACAACGGACACTTAGAAATCACACGCAGCTCATTGAAATAAATTATCTTAATATTAATACTTGTACAGAGCACTTTTCTTATAAAGAACCTCAGCCCTACCCGTACATTGGATCTTTNCTTTTTCGCCCACTTAAGCCCTTATTATGTGTCTCTTTCTTTTTTGCGCAGCTAAAGATGAAGAAACAACGAGTTCCTCGTATTGGCGCAAAATTCGATTTGGATTATATTATACATTGAACTCAAAAGACGAAGACAACGGACACTTAGAAATCACACGCAGCTCATTGAAATAAATTATCTTAATATTAATACTTGTACAGAGCACTTTTCTTATAAAGAGCCTCAGCCCTACCCGTACATTGGATCTTTCATGCATCGCCTAGCACCCACATTTATTTATATAGAATGGGGGAATAGTACCTTTTGGAAAAGGTATTCTAAACTTTGTCGGACATTTTTTAAAGCACAGAATCAAGCATGGCATCGGAACATGAATGTATTCTCGAACGGGATGTACAGCCGAGTTGATACACTTTTTTTATTTGATGACCCATGCATACCACTTAAACTGCAAACATAATTTTTGGCAAATAATTAATGGTAATCCTGGTACTCAAAGAATTTAAGGGGATTTCAGATTTATGTAGATGTAAATGAGTACAGTGGCTCAGACGCACAATCTGACAAGAGTTGTGTCAGTACACATGTGTTTAAACTTTAAAACTACAAGCGAGAAGGGACGTGTGAGACGCTTCTTACGCGTCACAACTTTTATACCCGGTACTCAGTACTACTCCTGTACCTTAGCTGTTTTTTGTCATATTCTACATTTTTTCTTTATCTGTTATCTACATCTACAACACTTCTCAAGCCAACACGCTCCTTTAGCTCGCCACCCTTTCCTAGATCCACACACTGCAGTGTCCCGGCAGAGGCAAAGGCAAAGGAACGCGAGAGGCAGAGGCCGCACACTGCAGAAGCAAAGTGTGAATGAGAGAATGTAAAAATAACAAATTTAAACTGCGGGACGGGGTGGGTTTAGCCACTGAAAATTAATTTCTTCATTGTGGCTATAATAATGATCCAATCGAATTCCCTACAGAATGGCGTTTTTATACCCGGTACTTGAAGAGTATATAACGTATACTGTATTTGTGTGAATAAGTGTGAATAACGGTTGTATGTAACGCACAGAAGGAAACGTTTCCGACCACATAAAGTATATTCTTGATCAGATCAGGCATGTCTGTCTGTCCGTAAGTCCGTCTTGTTTGTCGGCTAGTTCTCAGAGACTATAAGATCTAGAGCCACCACATTATGGCTCCAGACTGCTGTATGCTCACACCGAAACCAGTGTATTTCAATTAGCCTCGCCCCTTTCCGCCTCCGCAAAAGGGCGAAAACCTCCCAAACCTACAATTTTGAAGATAAAAGAAAACTAAAAACTAAAAACGAGTCGATAGAGCCATGTCTGTCTGTCCGTCTGTCCGTCCGTCAGTCTGTCCGTCTGTCCGTCTTGTTTGTCGGCTAGTTCTCAGAGACTATAAGAGCTAGAGCCACCAAATGTTGCATCCAGACTGCTATATGCTCACACTGAAACCAGTGTATTTAAAAAATGAGCCACGCCCCCTTAGGCCCCCGCAAAAGGTCGTTTCATTCACACTTACAGCTGAGTGCCATGACCATAAAGTAACTATATAAGGAGCATAAAGCAACTATATAAGGAGGCCTCGCCGGTGGCAGAGTTACTGGCTGCGTTACCCAATTCTCAGTGCACTTTTGCTTGTCGACGCGGAAGGTTGGTTGCGGACAAAATTTTTTTTTCCATTTTTTTTAAATGTTTATTTTTTCAGAACACATAGCCACTAACAGTAGCCATTACGTAGCAAACTATTAAAAATTAAATTATGAAACAATTATTATTTTTTTTCACTTTGCCTTCAAATGATTAATCAGCCACACTCCATTGTCGTTGCCCTCACACTTACAGCGAGAGCCCTTTCACTCGCACTTTTCACTCGCACTATTCCATAATTTTTTCCGACGAGACCTCCTTATATAGTTGCTTTATGGCCATGACTGTGGTGGGTCGCAATTATGAGCAGCTTATACTCTTACTATTGTAAAGTTGCTCTCTCTCCCTCTCTCTGTGCACGCCCTTTCACACGCACTTATTGACAGCATTGTTGCGTTTCCCATTCAAAAGCCGACGGGCCCTCCTTCATAGTTGCTTCATGGTTTGCAAGTTTCCATGCTACATTTGTTCGATTATTTTAAATTACAACCATAAATAACACTAAGTACTCGACACGATTTTGCCGCTTCGATTAAGACTAGATTTTTCAGTGATGTAGATGTAGATATACGTATGTAGAAAAAAGTAAAATATTAAATGAAAAATTGGAAAAAAGAACAATAAGGGACAGATGCCTTACTGAGTACCGGGTATAAAAATTGGGACGCATTCTCGTTTTGTTTTGTACGCGCATATTATTTGTTGTGGACCTATATGTATACATATGTATGTATGTACATACAAACATACATATATGTATTTTAAATTTTATATATTTAATGGCTGAGGGTCCTTCGAAACCAACTTGATTCAGTGTGATATCACGAGTCTTCACATACAAATTGGTGACTCTTGCTCTTACGGTCTCTGAGAACGAGGCGTCAAGCAATACGGATGGAGAGACAGGCATGGCTATACCGACTCTGTTATTGATGCTGATCAAGAATATATATGCTTTATGGGGTAGGAAACGCTTCCAAAATACAATACTCTTCGAGTACCGGGTATAAATACGAGAAAATTGTTAAAATTTCCGTTAACCTGTATATTTTGAACCGCTAATGACATTGGAACTTTTTCCCCATGCGACAGAGGTTTAAATTTTGGCGTATAATTAAAATAATGTAGTTGTAATTCAAATAAATATATGTACATTGACTGGATGACGTCCAGGCTGACGAGTCAACCATAAACTAGCGTTATGCTTTCAAGTTGCATTATTTTTCGTATTTCACACACTGCCGTATATGTCGTAAAATGTCGATTGGGAAAATATTCAAATGGCGTTTACAGCTCCTACAAAAGTAGTGCCCAGCGTTAGACGCAATGTGGGCTGTGGATAACTGCTGTACCTTTACTGAGCCGCCAGGCTTAAGACGTCTCGCATGGAGGAGTGTTACATCTGCTACGTGGTCGACAAACTCGTGTAGTTGTAAAACATTGAAAAAGTCACATTTTGGGCATTGCCAGGCTTGTTCCTGGAGGGCAGCTTGCATAGCCAGTGTCCACGGCTGGCCCGCCAGACAACCGTATACGACGTGTTCAGAGACGTTGATGCCGCCCTTTGCCATGTTGGGACTAAGGGGATAGTCGATGGCAAAGGGTTTTTCCTTTAGCTCTTCAAGTAGTGTTTTTGGATATTGGTGTGTGTAAATCCTCTTGCGATCAGCTGGCAGCAGTCGACTCACGGCGTACGGCACATCCAGCCCCATGAAGTCGATAAGCTCGTGCCAAAGCGTGACGTTTTTGTCAGNTCTCGGTACCTCCTCACAATGTAGACGATGCACCAGCTGTTTGAGCACATCAACATTTTGTAACTTAAAGTCACATTTTGGGCATTGCCAGGCTTGTTCCTGGAGGGCAGCTTGCATAGCCAGTGTCCACGGCTGGCCCGCCAGACAACCGTATACGACGTGTTCAGAGACGTTGATGCCGCCCTTTGCCATGTTGGGACTAAGGGGATAGTCAATGGCAAAGGGTTTTTTCTTTAGCTCTTCAAGTAGTGTTTTTGGATATTGGTGTGTGTAAATCCTCCTGCGATCAGCTGGCAGCAGTCGACTCACGGCGTACGGCACATCCAGCCCCATGAAGTCGATAAGCTCGTGACAAAGCGTGACGTTTTTGTCAGTAATAGCTGGAGCTGTGTCGCTATTGTTGAGCTCTAAAAAAATGTGGGTTAACGAGAAAATCTGAGTACTACCAACTTCTTCCCTGAAACGGCCACGCACCATGAAGCTTGTTATACAGCAGCCTGCTCCAAAGGCGTCGAAGTTTGATTGAACGGCACAGCAGCTTCATTCCGCTGCCAGGAACAGGGAAAAGGTCCGTGTGGGTGAGCAGCTTCTGGTAGACACAGTTTGGAAGCAAGCATAGCTAGCGTATCGGTTTATCCTCTTCACACACCCGGTGACCGTTTGCTTACGTCGAGTAGTTCATACCGAAGCGAGTCTCACTTTCGGCGAGCTTAAGGCAATCGTGGTACTTGGCGAAGTGGGAGTTCGGATGCAGAGAGAGGAATGATTTCAGTCGGGTGTGAAAGAACTGTTGCCCCCCTCCCTTGCAGTAGTTGAACTCATCACCGATGGCCAGTTGGGGGTAGAAACCGCTTACCAGTAGCAGCTTCAGCAAAATCATGCCCCTGTTGCGGTCTAGACATGACAAGCGCTGAAGTAGGGCGAGCTGGCGGCCATCGTGACGCAAGCAAAAGTCCACATCGCGCATGTCCTCGCTGCTCTCATCCGGCTTGTTGTACTGCCCTCCATGCTGCTCCATGCCCTTATGCTGATTCTTGAGTAGTTTGGGGTGTCGGGGCTGCTCAAACCGCTGGCGCCGCTTGAGAGTCTTTAATTGGCGGACTTCACCGTGCCGTCTGGCTCTTTCGGCACTAGTCAGCGGACCGGAAGTGCTGGGCGGAGCCATGCCACTGCCGTCCAAGATACGCTGAAATTGCTGGCGCAGCTTGCTGACCTCATAGAAACGTTGCTCCTCAATGCCTTCTGGTATTCTCCCGGGCTATTTTCAACTTCAGCCACTCACGGTAGGCACTCATCAGAGTGAAGAGATCTCCCTGCGACGATTCCAGAGGCTGACGCTCCCGTTCGCAGCGCGGGTTTGTGTACGCACGACTGGTAAGCGGATTTAGCACGCTAAGCATGGCGGCAAGTGTCAACAGCTGATCCACAATAACAAATATAAACTGCGGGACGGGGTGGGTTTAGCCACTGAAAATTAATTTCTTCATTGTGGCTATAATAATGATCCAGATGTTCCAGTTAGGAACGCCTTTTCTTCCCTTCGAACAGGTATATGATGCTCCCTTCTACTTGTAGTACAAACTGTTCATATACACTTTTCATTTCAGTTACTCGCTGTTTTGGCGGCAGCCAGCTTCAGGCTCCTTCCTGCTGCCTATCACGATCTCATGCACGACTGGTAAGCGGATTTTGCACGCTAAGCATGGCGGCAAGTGTCAACAGCTGATCCACCTCTGGGAACACGCAGCCCATTAGCAGCATTTTGCCAATGGATAGTTCCACTGGCAGGTTAGGTTAGGTTAGGTTAGGTTGAGGCGGTCGTCGGGACTTCACAATCCCGACACACCTAGGCCGGTTTCGGCCCGTTGTGATTCCGCTTGGATCTTTTCCTCTTCTCCTCCCGTTTGTCAGGGTGTCAACAGTGCTCCCATCCAAATGTTCTCACAAAGTTTGCTATCTTCCTGGGGCCTATAGTAGCCATTTCTGAAATGTCGTTGAGAAAAGGTGAGCCCAGATATTTTAACCTCCTTCTAGTGAGAGCCGGGCAGGAGCAGAACAGATGTTCTACTGTCTCCTCCTCGTCCGCGTCTCTACAGCTACGACAGAAGTCGTTGTAGGGGGCACCCAGCCTATTAGCATGGTTTGCTATTAGCCAGTGCCCTGTAAGAGAGCGAATGACTACGCTGCACCTGTGTCTGCTTAGTTTGCATAGTTCAGCGGTGCGTTTTTTCGAGATGTCTGGCCACGTTTGTCGGGTGATGCGACAGCCCGTGACCATTTGCCATCTGTTGGTTGTTTGCAGGGTATAGTACTTCTTTATTTTGAGCTTGCAAGTGGCCATTGGCATACGTATTTCCTCCCTATCTTGAGTTGCCTTCAATGTCCTGGTGTCCCGGGACCCATATTAGGTTAATAACATATTGCCTTGCCATCTCGTGTAGAGATTTGCGACAATTTGCCACTGTGGTCGAATTCGACGAAATCGCGTTTAGCGATTGTAGTTCCGCCTGGCTGTCACTATAGATGTTGAGGTGAGTAGCCGCAACTGAGATCTCTTGAAGGCATCTTAGCGCTTCATTTATAGCAACGACTTCCGCTTGGAAGACACTGCAGTGGTTTGGAAGGCGAAAAGAATGCCTCATATTTAGTTGCCTGGAGTAGATTCCTCCGCCAACTTTGCTGTCTAGCTTGGATCCATCAGTAAAGATGTTTATGGCCCCCGTTGGGCCAGGTGTGCCCTCGAGCCATTCCTCTCCCTGGGGGGATTATAGCCTCGAAGGGAGTGTCTGTGTACTCTCTGGGAACGCAATAATCGTCCATAGGTCCGAATCTCGCAGACGCATTGCTGCCCTTGCTGCCTGTTCCTTCCCTGCAAGGTCTATGCCCTGCTGACATAGGATGGCATTTAGTGCATCATTTGGTGTGGTGCGGAGAGCGCCACTAATGCAAAAAGTGGCCATTCGTTGGACCTTTGACAGTTGAGCGGTGATTGTCTTTTTTGACAGAGCCGGCCACCATACTGTGACTCCGTAGAGCATTATTGGTTTGGCAACAGCTTGGTATCCATTGGAATATACGTGGGTTCATG